AATTTAAAATCAAATTTAAACTAAAGACTTCAAGTCATGCATGCGAGGAGGGGCCGGTTCTTGGAAAAATCGGGTGCCATGCGAGCGCGGGTTGAAATGGTGCAGATTCGAGGCCCAGATGTTTGGCGCGTTCGAATTTAAATTACCGACTAACACGTTGCTCGATTTGATCGGCTTATAAAATAATTAACTATATAATTCGACTCGATATTAATTTTAATACAATTACGAGCATATAGTCACATAGGAACTAATAATCGAGCACGAATAAAAATAAATCCAAAAATTAAAAATAATAATAATAATTCTAAAATAATCCGGAACAAATGGGGCGCTACAAAAGCGGTCATGAGCGACGCGCAACCTCGACAGAAGACAAAGAAGTCGAAAGGAAAGTTCCACAGATGCCAGCATAAAGGACACTGGAAGGCAGACTGCCCTCTTCTCAAGAAGGTTCGACAAAGGTATATTTTTTTTCATTAGTCATTGAAATATGTTTAGCGGTGTTATCTACCAGAACCTGGTGTGTAGATACGGAAGCCACTGATCATGTCTGCAATTCAATGCAGGGGTCCAGAAGACCAAACAGCTTAGGGAAGGAGAAGTTACTATATACTTGGGTGATGCTAGTAGAGCGTCAGCAGTTGTAGTGGGAGACGTCTATTTAGATTTTGGTTTAGATAGGATTTTAGTTTTGAAGGATTGTCTTTATGTTCCCAGCTTTAGAAAGAATTTGATTGCAGTTTCTAAGTTGTTTATGAACAGTTTTTCTGCTACTTTCGATAATAAAGTTGTTTTCCATTTTGGCAAAAAGTTCATATGTTCTGGTTCATTAGTAGACAATCTGTACATTCTAGAATCTAAGTCATCTCCACTGCAACAGAAACAATTACTTAATTCATCATCTAATCTAAATAAGAGTAAGGAACCTTCCAAAATGAAAGAAATGTATCTGTGACATCTAAGACTTGGTCATATAAACCTTAGGAGGAATCAGAGGTTGGTAGCAGACGGGCCCTTGGGGTCGTTAGAAGTCGAGGCTTTTTCAACTTGCGAGTCTTGCCTTGAAGGCAAAATGACTAAGAGAGGTTTTAAGTCAAAGGGGCATAGGGCCGAAGGCCGAAGATTTGTAAGGGCTAGTTCATTCCGATCTATGTGGTCCTATAAATGTTCAAGCGAGAGGTGATTTCGAGTATTTTATTACGTTTATCCATGATTACTCGAGATATGGGTACATTTTTCTATTACACCGCAAGTCTTAATGCTTTGAAAAGTTCTTAGAGTATAAGGCAGTTGTGGAGAAGCAATTAGGAAAAAGTATCAAGTCACTATGATCAGATCGTGGCGGCAAATATCCCTCGAATGAATTTAGGAACTACTTGACAGATAATGGGATTACTGTTAGTGTTATATACTGAAAGCTTGGCTTTGGATGATATTACACTTTTACCCTTTATGAATGAGAAACATGTTAGATTAAACAAGTTCTACGTTCTGTTGTTTTGCATTAGATAGTGTGGGTCGTCATCGGCGAACCGAAGATCATGCTATCAGTTACTCGCGAAACAAGAGTAAGTGGTTCACAACCCAGATGGACATGAACACCCCATCGTGAACGGTTGTAGTGTCAACTGTACAATTTGTTTTAACTGATTAGTTACACTAGTACATTTATGTATTGAACAGGATCCCAGAGAGGAGCAGTTCTTTTTATACTGATCGTCGTAAATGAACTAGGCCTCGGTTAATTACTGCGTACTTTTTAACCCGTAAGATATTAAACAGACATATATGTGTAGTATTTATTACTTTGATTCACATGGGTGAGACTTAGTGAACTGGGCCAATAGACCCGCTGTCTTGGGTAATATTGTTACATGTAGGATGTGTTGTTAGGATATTTACGGTCACCATGTGTGTTAGTTTGATGATGTCCCCGGAGTGAGTTCATGAAGGATTATTATGCTAAACCCTGCAGGTGGATTAAATTCCGGCATAGTAATAATATGATGAACGAGCGCTAGCTTCGGTGAAATAATAATAAATTAATTAATTCTTGATTGTCAGTAATTGAATTAATTAATAGATATTATATCTTAAACATGGGGAGATAAATCGAATAATTCTTATTGGAGTCTCAATTGCAAATTGGGCTAGTAAAAGGGAGTGCAATAATATTATGTTGGTGGCCATTTAATATTATTTAATTAATTAAAATAAGTGGCTTGGTCCACAAGTATTTTAATCATAATCTCCTAAGGATCCCTACTGTAGCTCTATATATACATCATTAAGCTCATGGGAAGGGGAGAGAATTCCACATCTTGGAAATCACACCCCCCACGCCTCTCTTCCCTGCTCGCCGGTGCTTTCCATTGCGCGATACTCGCGCACTCGCCTTCCGGCACGTAGCAATCCCCTGCGCGCATCGTCCACCCGTCCTCCACTCCTCGCGCGCCCATTCTCTTAGCCTCCATGCGCCATGCGCGCCCTTTCCTCACGCACGCCATGCACCAATCACCTACTTTGCCCGGCACTACGCATTTGGCATCAGCCCACTCTTCCTCCTCGCGCTTACTTGCTGTGCGTCTCTTCTTGGCTTGTCTAGCCTTGCGCCTCTTATTGCGCGATTGTGCTCTCTTCCCACAACCTCTTGGCCAGTCTCGCCTAACCGTTGGCCAATACTCTTCGATTTGCGGCTCTTCCGGCCCACTCTCGAGCCAACTCTCGAGTTCCTCAAAAGACTCATCCTCGGGCTCACTAGGGTCGATGACCACTTCCGCATCACTAGTGCCCGACGCTCGCCAAGCGATAATGGAAATAAACTTTCTAAAAACACCCACAATGCATTGAGTCTGTTAATAAAATATTCTATGTCACATAGGAAATAGACTTAGTCTATTAAAATATGAATCAAATGCAATTAAAGGTGGCCATGGTCTAGCTTATGTGGAAAAAAAAAGAGAGACCAAGTCCACACTTGGGTCTATTATGGACCCAAATACAAACCGAAGCACTTATCATTTATTCCTCATTTTAAATTTTCTTTTAATAAATGAAACATATTAGAGTATTTTTATTGGTGGGCATGTATGCTAGACCTAGTATTTTATTTTTGTATTGAATAGATTTTGAGTTTTTTTTTACTTGAATTTATCAATGTCATTTACGATTTAAATCTATTTATATGCCGTAAAATTAGATTGAATGCATTGTGGGTGCTTTAAGGCTATGTTTGGTAAAACTAGCTGATAAGCTAGCTGATAGCTGATAAGCTAGCTTACAGCTTATATGTAATTTTTGAGTTTATAGCTTATAGCTTATGACTTATAGCTGAAAATGTAGCTTATATAAAAAAGTGTTTGGTAAAATTAGCTGATAAGTTAGCTAGAATAAAAAATTCAACTAGCTTATTTGAAAAGCTACTTAAACAAGCTTATCAAATAAGCTCGAGCTTTTTAAATAAGTTCGTCCTACCAAACGGGACTTATTTGAATACAAGAAGTTTATAAGTTAACCAAATAAACTATAAGCTAGCTTATTTGGTTTACCAAACATAGCCTAAAAAGAGCGCCACAAAATCCCCAAAAGATGCAGTAGTTTGAAGTATTAATAATAATGACAAAAGCTGGCAGCCACTTTTTTGGATAATGGAAATAAACTTTCTTTGTCAATCACTCATCCACAGTTTCCACGTCTCCAGGTAAAATAAATAAAAGTATCAGCGCCTGTCCGCACAAATCCCTATCAGTTTTCCACTCTCAACATTCTTATGTTCTGTACTCCACCAAGCACTATATTGATAGATACTAACATGTCTCTTTATTTTTCTAACCTATATATAGATTTAGTCAAAATGTCTTTATTGTAACTATATTTTAATTCTCTATAAATATGTGTGTGACAGATGACTACAACAAGATGCCTGTATTTGGGTTTGATACACCTGTATGTAGACGTGACCAGGTGCCGGGCCAAGGCCCGGCCCGGCCCGCTGGGCCACGGGTTCTCCAACACCGGGCCGCAACTGGCCCGCTAAGAACCAAGGGCCGGTTCATAGAACCAACCCGAACTGCCGATTCACCGACCCGGCAGTTCACGGGCTGGTACGGCCCTTGAGAAAAACAAATAATTTGGCCGGCCCGGCCCGGCCCGGCCCGGCGGGACAAAAATAAAAAAATTGAACCGGGACCAAACCGCGGCCCTACGGTTCCGATTCAACGAACCGGCCCTTAGAAGGCCGGTTCCGGGCCGGTGCCGGTTCGCGGGTCGGGCCACCGGCCTGTTCGGCCCGTGGCCATGTCTACCAGTGTGGATTGGAATTTGAACACTTTAAGAATGTATATACATATCTACATACAAAAATAAGCTTCAAATTAAAGAGGCAGCCCCAAGTAATATATAGTGTGCAACTTGATTGTTGAAAAAAAAATAAGAAAAAAAAATTGACATGATAATGTGGCAAAAAAATAAAGTAATTATTTCTAGTAATAATAATAAATATATAAATGTATGAATAATAAATTTTATAGATGAATGTGTTGTAATGTGATTTTCAATTAGAAATTATATAAAAAAATCCAATAAATGTTGTAATATATACTTTTATAGAAATATGAGACTAGGTAGTTGGTGTACATTCAAAACCTACCAAAGCTACTTACTTCTATTGTCTTGAGATAATGTAATGCATGATTTTAATAAGAATACACTACAAAACATACAATTGATGTCCACATTTAACTACTCTACACAATTATATGCACCTAATGCATGGAAAGGGAAATCACAAATCAGTCCAACCACAGATACCTTCTATTCCATTTCAACACAGCAAACTTCAATTCCACGCAAAAAAAAAAAAAAAAAAAAAAAAAAAAAAAAAAAAAAATAGTAGCAACAATAACACCCATAAAGAGTTTAAACACTTACCACACTTCGCCATTATGCAAAGCACGGTAAAAATCCCAACCAAGTCAAAGTAAGCTAACCACAAGCTCTCATCGGCCATCAGCCGACGTAAACGAATCAGCAAAGCCCGAGGGTCGAGTCGGTATACTCGTCTGCGTATTATCACTACTCCCAATGTAAGAAGAGGACCCATCAAAGCTCTCGAGGGCCTGCCACTTCTTGAGGGCCTGAGGGAGAGTCATGTCGTAGTCAATACCGTAGATATCATCCGGGTCGGCAGGCTCAGATGGCTTCCAGAGCTCGGCCAGGCCCGAGAGCACGTTAACCGCATGGCCCATGTCGGGTCTCTGGTGGGGCTCGCGGGCTGTGCAGTGGCCCGCAAGCTCGGCCACCGTGGAGATGGATGCAAGTGTGTCTTCATCGAGGTCGAGAGTGGGGTCGATGGCCTTCCGGAAGGTGTCCTTGTTGATAAGCATGCGGCGGAACCACGGGACGAGGTGTTGCTGCTCGTCCGGGAGGTTCTGGTCGAGGGCCTTGCGCCCTGTGATAGCCTCCATCAGGATCACCCCAAAGCTGAACACGTCAATCTTGGTTGTCACCCGACCCGTCACTACAAAACCCACCATTAAATCATGTGGAAAACTAATTTGTTAATAAATCACTTGATTGATCATAGTAAGTAAATAAAAACACAAATAGGTGGATAATCTTATTAGGTCATGGCATTGTAGAGAAGGATATTGAATACTCATCCCTGAATTTGTCAAAATAAAAGAGCATACAATGGAAAAAATTGTTATCCAACAAGTTGATTCGGTTCTGTAAATAATATCGACGCCCGTCGCCCGTCATGTTTAAGAACCTCAAAATCGTCAGGTTGAATGGGAATGAAATATCATTTATTCCTCTTGATGTCACAGTTTCAAACACTTATTTATTTAATTTATAAAAAAATGTAAGTTAGATCCACACAGAAATGTGATTTAAAGTTAGTTACCTGCATATTCTGGTGCTAAATAGCCAAAAGTACCAGCCAACCTAGTAGCAACAGAGTTTTTCCCATCAGGAGCAAGCCGAACAAGTCCAAAGTCAGATACCTTAGCCCTCATATCATCTCCCAAAAGTATGTTGGACGGTTTAAGATCCCTATGAATAAAACTCTGCTGAGCCAAACCATGGAGGTACTCGACTCCTCTAGCAACATCCAGAGCAATTGTTAGCCTTCTCGTCCACTCGAGAGGCTTCAAACCTTCTTCCTTCCAGTCAAACAAGAACCTGCTGAGGGTCCCCTGAGGCATATACTCGTAAACAAGCAGCCTCTCATTTCCATCCAAGCAGTAACCCAAGAGCGCCACCAAATGCCTGTGCCTAACTTTAGTAAGCACAGCAATCTCGGATTTGAACTCGTCCAAACCCTTTTCACTCATCACACCGGATTCCATCCTCTTAACGGCAATCTTAGTCCCATCGTGCAATTCGCCTTTATAAACAGTTCCAAACCCGCCCCTACCAAGTATGTTCTGCTCACTGAAGTTGTTTGTCACATTTCGCAAAACTTGGATCGAGATCACCATGTTGCCAGCCTCCACAATGTGGAGGTCGCTGGGCCCGCTACTCACATGGCTTTGGGTCTCGCTCAGCCCGCCACTGTTGATGCTCGAACCAGCTATGGTGATCTTCACGGCATCCTCCGAGCCCGAGTGACGAGGGTGTATGACCATAGCATGAGGAGACTGAACCCTCCCATTCCTCTTTCGTTGTTTGGTCCTGTAGAGGCAGAAAACTAGAGCTCCTGCAAAGACAAGAACACAAACTCCACCAACTACAGACCCGACAACCACCCCAGTAGAGGATTTCCCCCCATTGCTATTTCCTGATCCGTCGTTATTCAAGTCTGAACTTCCATTTGCACTGGGCGTGCCAGGAGGTGGGACATCCTTGCCAAAATTTGGATTGTTTAAAGTAATGACATCCACATTAGCCCCAAAAGGTGGAGGATGTCCGTAAATTTGATTGCTTGAGACATCCAATATGGTGAGGTGGGGCAGGGTAGCCAACTGGCTTGGAATGGTACCAGTCAAGTTATTGTTCGACAAAATAAGTCTTTGAAGAGACTTGATCTCTGCAAAACTAGGGGAGATAATGCCACTGAGTCCCAGTCCATGTAAGTTCACCACACTGATATTCCCATTGCTACATGTGATCCCTTTCCATGGAGAAGCACATGGGTCGTTCCCTTTCCAGCTCTCGGCAAGGGTGACTGGATACCCGAACCCACTTGCTACACTAAGCAAAACACTCACCCGTGCATCACATTCTACACCGGGATCATTCAGGCAGAAACTGTTTGTGTCCTTGGATATATCCACCTGTACTCCATCACCAAATTTAGGAGTTTTCCCTTGGAGAAGATTATTCGTCAAGTTGACCACTCTAAGAGAATCCAACTTCACCAAGGAGTCTGGGACAGGGCCTGTCAAGCTATTATCCCTCAAACTCAAATTCTGCAGCTGAGTGAGGCCCGAGAACTCCGGCAACGGCCCAGTAAACCTATTTCCATGTAGCCAAACCTCAGTCAATTCAGTCATGTTCTGCAGAATGGCAAGAGAACCATTCAATTTTTGGCCTTTCTGTCCATTGAGCCACAGCGATTGCACCGAAGAGCCCGCGAGCGCAGAGGGCAAGGGGCCCTCCAGATTATTAAACGCTAATCGTAGAGTAGTCAAGCTCGAAAACGTTTCGGGCCCAAAGAAATCGGGCAAAGGCCCGATGATATTAGTCGAGGTTGCCGAAAACGTTTGCATAGTAGAGGCGTTCCTAAGACCGTCCGGAATAGCCCAGGATTCGAGGGGATTGTAATCCAAGTAAACATCTTGTAACGAGGTCATACCGTCAAAGAAATCCGCGGGAATTGAAGTGAAATTGTTGTTGCTGAGCAGAAGGGACTGGAGCGAGCTCAACCCGGAGAGACTCGGCAGTGACCCAGTGAGTTGGTTGCCCTGGACCTCGAAAACCTGAAGAGAAGTTAGGTTGTTGAGGCTCGGGGGGAGAGTCCCTCTCAGATTCTGGTTCCCAATTTGGATCCTGGTGACCCGCCCGTCACCCCTGGAGCACTGAACTTGTTTCCAGGCGCACGGGTCCGGGCCAGTCCAGCCGAGTTGACCCAACCCGGTAAGGCTCTTCCTCAATTCCAGCATCGCCGCCGCGTCGCCGGACTGGGCACGGCCGACGGCGGCGAGTAGCGAGCAAAACGCGAAGAATATCAATCGCGAAGTCATTCGGCGGAAATTTCCCTCAACTCGTCGAGGGTTTTATTTTCTTTCTTCTCTTTCTGGTGTTTGCGGCTAAATTCTTGCTTAATACTACAGATAATGAGGTTAAAAAGCTGCAAAAATTCACATACCTAATTGAATTTGTTTCCTTGTTTATGCTTTTTCTTCGCTTAACAAACAAAAAAAAAATGGAGGAAGGACTGTAAAAGGAATGAAAAAATGTGAGAGGTTTTTTAGGCAGCGGATGTTAAAAAGGAAAAAAAAAAAAAAAAAGTCAGTGTGTGTAGGGCGTGTTTTTATGGTAGCGAGAAAGGAGAGTGAAAAAGGAAAATAAAAGAATAAAAAAGGGAAATTGCGTGTAGAGTGTGTGTTTTGGAGGAGGAGAAGAAGAGAATGGAGCATAATCTATAATTTGATGCGGTGACACAGGTTTAATGTATGTTTAAGGTCGAACACGTGTCAATACACTATTTTTGAATAATTGTGAATGACTCTATAAGCTGAGTCATCCGCTAGTTCCATATCAAAATTATAGAATAGAGAATAGAAAATTTTATTGATCTTGATTTTTGGGTATTCTGGGTCTAAATTTTAACTTTGTCAATTGAGAGTTTTACTTTTAATTTATTCTTAATGCAAGACATATTTTTACATTCTATTTTTTAATTTAAAACTTCAAATCACTTTGGCCCCGTTTGATAATCAGTTGTTAGTTGATTGTATTAGTTGTTTTGAACTGATCGTGTTAGCGATTTGTAAAAAAGTGTTTAATAAAATTAGCTTTTCTAATTAGATGTTAACATGTAAAATTACTTATAAGGACATCAACATACTTTATCATTTTAATTTATGTTGAATTTATAATTATTTAGGAAATAAAACAATTAATATTTTAAGTAGTTATTAATATAATTTAAATATGATAAAAATACTTATTAAAGTGATTTAAATATGATAAAAATTACAAAATAATAATAAAATTAAAAAAATTCATAATCAAGTAAATAATTTTGATCCTCATGAATCCATAATGACACTTATAACACACCAACCCCTCAAGCTATTCCATTTAGGGGTATTCACAGTCCGGTTTTAACCGAAAAATAAACAAGCAATCTGGACCTCGGATCGGTTAAATGATCGGTTAAAAAAGTCTAAAAAATCTTGTGGTTAATTTTTTAAAAAAATTCAGAATAACCGGTCCGGTTAATGGATTACCTGCGGCAAACCGCCGATTTAACCGGACGGACCGGTAAATATAAAAAAAACTATAACAAATATATATATACATTCAGTCATTCACTATGACCGACAAATACAATACATTCACTTTCATCCTTTGACATTTTGTTGACTAATTTTGTAAGACATTACTTTTCACTTTTTCCCATCTTTGTTTTTTATAATTTAATTTTCATCATTTTTGTATTTTTATGTTTATGTGACAAATACATATTTTTATGCTTATGGGTCAAATTGTGTATTTTTATTTCATTGTTGTTGTTTTTCTTAATTTTTAGGCCCAAAATTGAAAAATAAAAATTAAGCCCAAAATGAAAAAAATAAAAATTGAAGGCCCAAAACAAGGATTTTGGATTTAACCGGTTAACCGCCAAATCGGACCATACAGTGCAGTCCGAATTGTGACCGGTTAAAAAATAAAATCGGTCCGGTTATGGACAAGAAAAAAAATTAACCGTTAGGTCCGGTTTGGTCATGGTATGGGTTAAAACCGGCCCAATCTTGACCGTGAACACCCCTAATTCTATTTGCAAGTAAATGAAACTTCAAAAGTTGAAGATTCATTTTCGCATTTTTATTAATTAGTGAAGTAATAAGGAAAAATGTAATATTATTAAGGGAAATGGAGACTTTTAATTTTACATAATGAAAAGCTAAATCTAAACCGTTGCTCTAAGTAGCATTTTTTATATTGGCGGATTATCCAAAAATATATTTGTAACAACTATTTACCAAATACTTCTTTCAGCTGATTAAAAAGGTCAAACAACTAAAATAGATGAAAAAGCTCTTTTGGCATGAAAAAGCTAAAAAACAAATGGGCCTTTGTATTTTGATAATTATGTAAATCACAATACTCTTTTCTTAAAAAAAAAAATTAAGTACTTTTAATAAAAAATATTAAATATCTTAATAAAATTACCTAATAAGATATCGTTTCATGATTTACATTTATACAAAAGTTTAATGAAATTTATTTTAAAAGTTAAAAATAAAATTTAACTTAATTTTAATTTAAATATGTGATAGCATTACAAAATAAACTATTTAAAAAATAAATAAAGTAGTTTTGCAAATATCTTTATGATTATTTAAAATATAAATTTTAAAATAATATTATTTTGATTTATAAATTTATGTAAAAATATAAAGTAGTCGGTGCTTTAAATTGAGAACTAGAATGTAAAAGTTAGTATTTAATTGAAAATAACTAAAAATTGAAACCCTCATATAAAAAGGTTGAAAATTCAGGTCGTGACACAATAACAAAAAATCATGAAATTGTTACAGTTGACAGATGGTTTTGGGGACCACTTTGCAACATTGACAGTTTCTTAAATTTTCCTTTGAGAATTTTGCTCCAGTAATTAACTATGCAGCATTAATTCATATGATCTTATTGTTGGACTGTTTTTTCTTTTCTGGTATTTTACAGCTGGGTTATACAAAGATCTTATTGTTCTCCTTTTTTTTTCTTTATTTTCTTTCTTTATCGTTTGAGTAAAATGAGGACATTGTATTATTGATAACTAGTGTGTGGCCCGTGCGATGCACGAGAAAACAATATTACGATTATGTTATAAGTTAAATATACAAATAAATTAATCAAAATTTACCCATAGTTTTTAAATTAAACCGTGTTGGACACAGTCCGACCGGATGGACCAAGAACCAGTTTATAATCAGTCTAGTTATCTTGAATATAATATTTGCTATTGAATCCGTAAACACCAGTCGGTTGAACTGGTAGGATCGATACGATTTTCTAAATAAATTTCGGTATATTTAAAATTATTTTAATTAAAATTACATATTTAAATAAAATAGAAATTTGTAAATTATTTATCAATTAATTTAAACATTTGAATTTTTTAAATTATTTAGATATTTAAGTAACACGTTTTATTCAAATTTATTACAAAAAGTACCATATATATATAAGTGTATTTTTAAAGCAAAAATAAATTGTATGATTAAATTTCATGATTATATTAAAGCGTAGTTATAAATTAAATGTATGATTTAAAAAAAAATAAGAAAAATCATAAAACTACTATTTCTGGGTTGCATTAAATGCTGACCTATCTTTTTGCTACTAATTTTAGTAAATATGATGACTCTTTATATAAGTACTAGTACAGAGCCCGTGCGATGCACGGGGTGCACAATTTTAAGGTCATTTATCCATTCTTATAATTATATAAATAAATAAAAAAAATGTACGGGATATATATAGTACGTGACCTGTAATAGACCAAAATGTGAACACGGGTGATGCACGGGGTACACAATTTTAAGGCTATTTATTAGTGCATACCCCGTGCGATGCACGTGATACATTAAATAAATCAATTATTTCTATAGGACTTGTACGTCTAGACAAAAAAACAATAGGCTTGGATCATCCATATTTGACATCTTTCAATAAGTGACGTTTATTTAAGCTAAAAAATTAACATGTTAATTAATATATAATTCTGCTAACACGTCATACTAATATTTATTTAATTTTAGAATACATATTTATTCATTGATATAGGAAAAAATAAAAATTTTATTAATTATTGTTCACCATATAATACTCAATTATTATTTTATTATAAAATTTACAGTCATATAATGTAATTATTATTATTTATAAAAGTTATAGAAGTAGTCTTCTTTATGTAATGAAATTCAAAATAAATTTTTGAGCATAAATGTTTACAAAATACACACACATGTTTTTTAGAATTCAATTTTCTCATAATAATTCTTTTTTAAAAAAAAAATAATTTAGCAATTGCCAAAAAATAAATCCCTTACATAATCAAGAGTTTTTTCTAATTTTCATCCTAAGGCTTTATAGTTTATTTAACATACTATGCAATAGAAAAATATTTTA